CTGGGTAGTTTGACTAGGATCGGCTTCCACTATCTCTCTTAATTCATCGTTATTCACCTGTATGGGCGGTCTTCCTCGTGGCTCGTTCTTTAAGTCGAAATTTCCATCACGAAAGCGTTTAAACCAAAATCGCACGGTGCGTTCATTAGTAAACCCCTCTCCAAACGCAGCATTTATATTGCGGGCTGTTTCTGCCGCGTTAGTTCCGCGTCGGAACTCGTATTCAAAAATCACTCGAATTTTCGCAGTATCCATCTTTCTTGTCTAAATTGAATAACAAAAACAATTGAAAGTCGATATTCAAATGTTTCAAATTTAAAAAAAAAAATCACAGAAACCATTTGAAAAAAGTTTCATTCGAAAACCTCAAACCATGAAGATTCTATGAAAATTCAAAGAACCTATTCCAATAAAACGGCAATTTCATACTTTAACCCCTAATATTAAAAATTAGTTTAACGATAATTTAAAATATCGTGAGAGCGCGCTACTGAGTTGATGTTTGTATCAGCTCCGTAAACAAAAATTATTAAAAACCATTTTAATAATGTTTACTGTAAGCGTTTTATAATTTTAATCATACAATGTACCTATATTTGTAATAATCATAATAATATAGAAGGTAGATAATGAGTACAGTTCTTGATTTGAACAAGTGATGAGTATAGGACTTGAGTAGCAACTGGTAGCAATGTGATGTAGAATATTACCGTTTAGGAACTTAATTATACAGCCTGATTATTATTGTTCATTATCCATATTACTATAAGTAAATTTAACTGTGGTTTTAATGTACAAATATTTAGTCTAATCAGTATTGAGTTATTTGATTTGTCGTTTTCCTGTTGAATAGTGAGGTAGTAGGGTAGGGGTAGTTAATAAAAATTTTGTAATATTGGTAAAATATTCAGTTTTGTTGTAGATTGAAAAAACGAATAAAGGAATATTGCAAGAAGTGGTGTTTCTCATTTTTCACATTACCAACTAGTGTGTGAAAACCAAATTAATAACCATATAAACTGCCTCCGTGGCCGAACGATTACCATGCTGTACTGCCACGAAGAGGTCCCGGGTTCGATTCCCGGGCCGAGAGAAATATTTGTATGGCCTACATTTATTTCTCTCGTGTGTTTAGGTGTAATTTGTGTAACGATGTTTTTGAGTTGCAACTAAATGTAACTTTTCAGTCGCTAGTAAATCCAATGAATAACTCTGTAGCAAAGACCCATGCACAGTAGTGACACCATAATACGACTTAATGATTTTATGATACATGAGTACATCTTACGGGGAGGCTCTTTTCGTGCAACCCCACGATATTTATGGATAACATTACTTATTAAAATATATTACTTCGTTGAACGTGTTAGCCGTGCATAGGGGGACCTCTGCCAACATTTTACACGCTCTGGTCGCATGCCTTCATCTCCATTTAATCTAACACTAATTTAAGTAATTAAGTTTAATGAATATCAAGACGTTTCACTAGCATGATATTATTAGTATTTAATAGCAGTAGAATTCCTTGTGAAAGAGTCCATCCAGCCCCCATACCTATTTATACCGCCAAGCAGTAATGTCAGCATTACTGTATCCGGTTTTCAAGGGTAAGTGCCCCTCAGATGTTTACGATTTAAAGCTCTGAATGGCACTGCAACTGTTATGGACAGGTGTGTGTAGCATACCATCAAGCGCACGACTTGTTAGTCCCGTCACTTAATATTATAAAAAAAATATTACTTTTTGTGAAATTACTCAACTAGTTTGTTATAATTATTAATACAAAGACCCTAGTATTCTTAGTATTTATGTTAATATAAAGTCGTTTGCATCATTCCTTGAATAATTAGGCCGTCGTGCGTGTCACTTTATTTCATTTTATTATTTATTTAGAATGGATAGCCGACACAGTACATAGACAGAGTATAGCAATAAAGGTGCAATCATAATCTCAGTACAGAGTACTAAAAAAATCGACCTCAAAAGTACGTGGAATTACAAATAATAACCAAGTTTTTTGAAATCGGTTACCGGAAAGTGCGCAAACCTGGTTTCACCCCCTGGTTCGCCACTATACGGGACTTGACAGGGAGATAATAAAAAACGGGTCTCACTACTCAAAGTATATTGAGAGAGAAAAACGTTTTGAATTGGAGAATAGCGAAATCAACTATTACAATAATTGCTCCTTATAATAAAATTTAGGCGCTATTTATAAAAATAAATCTTCATGCGTGAACACCACCACCGCCACCCTTAGAGGTGGATGATTTTCTTCAAAATTAAATGGTACCACTATGGAGGTACCTTCTTTCCAATAAAAAAAAATCATGAAAATCGGTTCACAAATACCGGAGTTATCGCGAAACATACATACAAAAAACTGTGCAGTCGTATTGAGAACCTGCTCCTTTTTTTGAAGTCGGTTAAAAATATAAAAGCATTATACATATCGCACTTTCAGGCAACAACAAGCGTAACAAGCGGGATTTTGTTTTTTTTTTATAACATCAAGTGACAGGACGAACAAGTCGTGCGCCTAATACGGTCACGTTGTTGTCTATAAAGTTTACGCTTTCAAATTCATATAGCAATAGGTTACAAATTAATATAATTACTTAATATACATAGGGCGCACTATAATTTTCCGGAACTGGCCACTTACATAAACAATATTTAAGAAGTAATTACAACATTTGAAAATGGAACTCTTTAGCTGTAGAATACGATTATATATACAACTAAATATGTTGTAAATCTAATTTTGTTTAAATTTAATTATATTATTACAAAATGTTTATTGCTTTCTAATCCAGATGATTGAATTTGTCTTTCTATTGAATCGGTTCGCTTGCAAATCGCATTGAAATAATCGATACAAAAAATCGTTAGATCGTGTGACCATAGTGAGAATCTACAGGACTGCAAGGTAGATATTATGCGAAGTTTATACCAAATTCCGAATTCGCCGTTTCCGCCCAAGATTTTTGGCAGAAATGAGTTAAAACCACTTTAGGTAAAAACCTGGGCCGGTTGATTGGGTTTTAACCCATTGTCCATCTGTACTCTCGCCTACAGATTTGAATAATGGAAATATAAATAAAGATCGTGTTTCATTAGGGAGTGACAGGTGCCTGAGCGCATTAAGAACGATGTTGCTTAGTACTTACTTACTTATAATAATAAGTATATACATATATAATATAATAACTGTCACTTGCTTTTACACTGTCATTTTAGAAATTGGTTGTCTACATCATCATGGATTTAACTCGTGAACATTTTCATAAGTACTATGATTTTCTACGACTTTTAGTGTAATTTAACAGCTCAGCGGAGCTTCGCTCGGGTTCAAACTGCTTTTGGCGATGAAGCACCATGCAAGACGACTATATATAGCTGATTTGCATAATTCAAACGCGGTAGTGTGATACTGATAATATAATATGTGATACTATACAAACATTTGGGTGTGAAGAAGCTGTGCTCTCGGTGGATCCCACACAATTTGACTGAGACTCAAAAAATCGGATCGCGTCACTTGGTGCAATGCCATGCTTACCAGATTCAACGAAGGGGCGTCAAATTTGGTGTGGAACATAGTAACAGACGACGAAACATGGATTTATAGTTACGATACAAAACAAAGCAGCAATCGAGCGTATGGGTCTTTTGAGATGAGCCGAAACCAACCAAAGTGGCGCGCGTGAATGTGCCTCTAAGCGGATGATTGCTTCTTTTTTTAATAAAACTGGAGAATATTGTACCGTGAATAGTGATTGGTATACAACCATTTGTTTGCCGGAAGTTATTGACAAACTCCGTAAAAATAACCGTAAACGCTGTATCATCTTGCACCACGATAATGCCATTTCTCACACGGCCAGATAGACAAATGAATTTCTTGAAGGTGAACATCGTTGACCTTATGAACCATCCCGCGTACAGTCCCGACCTGGCACCTTGCGACTTTTATTTATTTCCAAAAATTAAGAACCAATTACGTGGTCAACGATTTTCACCACCCGTAGAGGCTCTCGCAGAGTATGAAAATTATGATTCAGAGATTGTCACGGAGGAGTGGCACAAATGTTTTCAAAATTGGTTCATTCGTATGAAAAAGTGCATTAACGCTAACCGAGAATATTTTGAGAAACAATAAATTCATTTCTGACCATTTATAGTATTTTTTCTTATTTATTCCGGAAACTTATAGTGCGCCCCACGTAATATCGAGTTCTTAGGTTTCGTTATTGTTACACATAAGAAATGAAACTATTTTCCCGGATTTAAATCGCATCTATTTGATTTTTTTGAACAAACCAAGTCAACCGTGACCAGTAAAGAGTTCGAAACGTAAGTTTATTTGAAAAAACAAATATACGCGGCTTGAATCCGGAAAAATACTTTCATTTCCTGTACGTAATATAATTTTATTGTAATATTATTTTAATTTTGGGTAAACATTTTTATTTTAGTTTTGAAGCTGAGCAAGGAATCATTAAAAACATTTTAAAAAATCCAAATGTAAAACTAACTATTCCTAGTATTCATGCTGTCAATGTCGCTATTCATTTGCGTCATTCCTCGGATAATTATGCCGTCATATCACTTTCTACGCTTTATATCAAGCAATTTACTGTCTTACTTAAGTGCACATTTAAGAGCTTTAATATAATAATTCAACAACCCTTGTTACCTAGTTATTAAGTCCGCTTGTTGATGTTATAGTAAGAGTATTAATATTGGACAGAAACAATCGAAGTTTGTCCAAGTTAGTGTACTGAAGTGAATATTATCATGTCAAGTTCTAATTGGTCGCCTTTTGTACAGATAATGGCACGTCTCCCTTTACATTTAAGATTCAAATTCATCTGTTTGCGTTAAAACGGTCGGTTATTTAAGATAAAACGATTCTTGTCTCAGAGTGCAGTGAACCTGTTATCTATCTATATAATATCCATCTCAGTGCAATACATCGCACTCTCATTAACCTAATGATGATGATGGATGACCTAAAAGATAATGTTGACAAAGAAAGAGAGCTCAGGGCTCTGGCTGTCCACTGTAATATGCTGGCTCGGAGTTTCGCGCGCTGCTCTAACGAAGTCAAGATAACGCTATTCAAAGCTTTCTGCCAATCTTTCTACACTTGCAGCCTCTGGGTCTCATATGCGCAGCGGTCAGCCGGCGCACTACGCGTACAATATAATAACGCGTTCAGGATGCTGCTGGGTCTGCCACGGTTCTGTAGTGCTTCCGGTATATTCGCGGAGACGGCAACGGATGGTTTCCCCGCGATCCTGCGCAAGCGTACTGCGTCGCTGCTGAGCCGCCTGCGTAGATCATCTAACAGCATCCTGAACGTTTTTACTGACTGGTGGGACTCTCCGCTGCTACACCAGTGGATGTGCTTGCATGCGGACAAGCACATAGGTGGATAGTGGTAGCGGTTGAGACCCATGACTCATCAATAATATGTGTTTTCAATTTTAATTTAATTTAATGCATTATTTTATTTCATTTCATTTTTCTATGCTGTAATATTTGGCGAAATAAAATATTTTTAATTTGAATTTAAATTTGAATTAATAGTGACGTGAATTCTTGCGTTATCATCGTCATCAACCCTTTACACGACCCATTGCTGGGTACGGGTCTCCTCTCAGGCGAGGATTTAGGCCATAGTCCGCCATGCCGGCTCAATACGGGTTGGGGACTTCACACGTTTTCCGAGATTTGTGAATCTTCTTCGACGATTTATTCCCATCTGATCCCCAAAACTGATCCACCGCCAATCTTAAACTATAACTGATCCCCTCTATATTTTGCAACTCCCAACGAATCCCCGCACTGTATTTGTAAGGTAAGTACAATTAAGATAGATACAATCAAGTAAAAGAACTTTTGAAATCAAAGTTAATGTAGTTATAGAAGTTAGTACAGTTAATGTTGTTCATTTGTAATAAACTAAATGAAATGCAGCACAACCCTCAAAAACATTTTCTTGTTGACTGTACCAGACCAGTAACTACCAAAAATAAACTTGTGAGTACCAGAGTATCACGTGGGAATAAAATATTTATATTTATTCTTGTACCCCGGCATTGGGGATCAGATGGGAATAAGCCTCTTCGACGTGCAAGTTTCATCACGCTGTTTACCTTCACCGAAAAGCTCATATTAAAGTTTACACATAAATTCCGAGAAACTCTGAGGTGCGATCCTTGATTTCAACCCACGGCCTGTGCTTGAGAGGCGGTAGGTCAAATTAGGCTAAGACGGTTTTCATGGATTTCATACAATTTTTGGTAAATTGACAAAATGAATACACATCGCATTGACTTATTTGACCCCATAGCGGTATCGCAGGTCAATGTGCCTTAGATTCAATCTTGCAAATTTTGCGCAAAAATTTTCAAACTTGTGTTAAACTTGATTAAATCGAGTTTGATTCAGCGAGCATTGCCAAGCACGTTGCTCCAGTAGTGTCCATGCGTTCCATTGCACGCTACGGCCGCCGCTGCGTCTTCATTTGAATAACAAAGGCGGCTGCATGCGGCAGAATAATTAACCCGCGAATTAGTCTCCGTCAGTCGGCAGTCAAGATGGCGCCTGCCGTCGCGCAGTCAACTAATATCATAGAATACTTAACAGTGCTCGAGAACACTGACATTCCTAATTAAATTGTTGAGACTGAGCTACTGAAGCTGTTCTCTAGGCGGTTCTCACACGATGACGTCTGTCGCAGCAACACGAAAGTCTGAAACTTCAACATAGCATAATCTTTATGCGGCGTCTCTCGCGGAATGGAACGACTGTTGCATTGACGCGTGCCTACGTGAAAATGCAGCTGTGTGTAAAGCTGCTGCAGACTCCGTTATTTATATATTAGATGCACTAAACAGTTTTGTGGTACTTCATTCGATATTACAATTTATAGTTTTAATCTAATTTACACAAACCGACCATATATACATACAACACGATTAAGGTTGTTTTCCAGAATAAAATGTCGCCGGCCTATTTCCACCAAAAATTGCCATTAATGGCTCGTGGGTTTCCGTTGCAGATACTCTATGTAGGCAGCAATACGGTTCCATATTATATCAACAAATATTTCAATTCTCGCCTCGCTCATCCTCATCAATCCAGACCATTTCCACCGAAGATGCGCTAGGAGAGAATTAAAATTTTGCCACACAAAATCCAATCGTTGTCTTGCGTCGCTCATGAAAAAGCCCCTTTATTCAGCTCGTAAACTTTATATTAAAAAGTAAGCATACAATTTCTTATGTGTATTAAGATAAAATAAATTACAAAAGCTTAAAAACTAGTGAAAATATTTTTTTTAATGATGACCAATGTTAATATTTGAAACTGACACAGGATACCTGATGGTTTCCTAACAAATTGGTAACCACAGCAAAGGAATTTCGAATTTATTATATGTTATTTTGAACAAATAACAATCTAGCAGATTTTGGCAGCCATTTGGCAGTATCCGACACGCGCCACTAATTTGAAACGAACTTGCATTCGGAATACACACTGTTTCTATTTGTTATTATAGTATGGAATTAGTGACGGCATAACATAAGATTAATCTCAAACACCAGATTATCGCTTCAACGAGACAACGCAAATGTTGTATACTAACTTCATCAATAAAATACATATATCTCGTTAATTTGTGAAAACACAGACTGTATAGACGCGATTGTTGCATATAGGAAAGAAAACTATTTTTTGGAGTAAATCGCGTATATTTATTTTTTCAAATAAACCAACGTTTCCGGCACCTTACAGGTAGCACGGCCACGGCTAACTACATGGAACCTGTAAAGTTTATATCTCAAAAAAATCCTATATATAAGCATAGTTTCACTACGTCCAGCCAAATAGTAGGCATACAAACCTATTGTACATTTACTCAAATGCACTTCAACAGGCTGAACTAAGTGTAATATAGTTCCTAGTAATATCACAATTATATATAAAATAATCGCAAGCAAAATAGTTAAAATAGTATAAATAGTTCCTATCATCTTAACATGTTGTCGTAAACTGTGGTGAAATGTTTAAATCTGACTCTTAAAGTGTTTCTGTTTGAGGAGATGCAGATTTGGTTAGGGTCAATGACACTAAAATTCCTATTCCTTCCTATAGACTCTGACTTTCTGTGCTGTGATAGCACCGATTACCAGCCGCTTTAATCCTTGCGAAAGAGTTCGGAAAGAAAGAAAGTGAAATTACGGGCACATGGGACTTTTCAACTTATGTCTCAGAATGGCGGGCGCTGTAGCGGTGCTCAGATATTTGCCATCAGATGCACGATTTGTTCGCCCTGTCACTTGGTGTCATAAAAAAACCTTGACCTTTTTTGTATGAACAATTCACCCAACTTGAATTTCGGACACAAACAGTCTATGGGCAAAACTGCAGCAAATGATTTCGATATCTCATCCAGGTGAAGCGGTATTTCGTATACCAAGCAAAAGTCCTATCATCTAAAAGATATTGTTGCCGCCTTTAGAATATAAGTGCTTATATAAGCTTGCCGCCTCGGACCCCATGGAGCAGTATACCAAAAAGTTAATAAATAATTCTGCCCTGGTAGAGGAAAAACTGCAGATTTCTGAGCATGACGCAAGTTTGTAAGTTAGTCACTATTTACCGTATATACTTGACCAAGTTTACATTGAAGTTACACGAACTGTTGCCGTCATCCCCGGAACAAGAAAAATCGAAATCTTGCGCTAAGATTAACTTTCCAAATACTTACTTCAGCATCAGAGCGAGCAAACTAGGTCGCGAAATTACCTTACGTACGTGCTGCGTGCCTGTGTTGAAGGGTTGCTGGTGAAATTACAAGCACATGGGACTTGTCAATTTATGTCTTAGAGTGACGAGAGCAGTGGCAGTGTTGCTCAGATCTTTGTGATTTAAAACTCTGGGCATTGCAACTGGCGTGGACAGCCCTGTCGGTTAACACCAGGTGAACGACTTGTTTCGTCCCGTTATTTAATATCATAAAAAAGCCATTTTCAACGAAACGGTTTACTCTATCTTGTAATGAAAATTGTGCAACTGATTTCATAAATAAAAAAAAACACAAGGTCCCTTTACAGAAATATTGCATGCCACAACTTAAAAAAATCACAACTTTTAATAAACTTTAACAGGCAAAGTTGCATAAATAAAGACGATGTGCCAAAGTTACCTTTTACTTACGATTCGTCTGTGAAGTTTCGACAAAAGCAAACCGTTGTTCGTTCTTAAATACTCGCGTTACACAATTTTAACGAAGTTTCGTTTTGTTACAGTAGTTAAATTTACTTACGAGTTGACAAAAATATACGGTAAAAGATATAAAGTCCACAAAGCAGATATCGACAAAGGAAATCTACAAGCTGATATTTATATAAAATGAGGAAGATGATTCAAAAAGAAACTGTAAGAAAAACATGAACCCGTCCTTTTTACAAACAAAGATGTCGTATGTAAGTACGTATTCTCGGAAAAATTTATCTACCTGTACGTAAAGTAGCCTAAATCGGAATATTTATTCGTATGACCTTTCAGCGAGATGAACATAATCATGGGACCAGAGAAAAATCTAACAGTGGTAAATGTTTTGGACAGAGAGATCTCTGTCCAAAACACGACTCTCGTCAGTGAGCCCTATCTAGAACATATATTTTAATTCTAAGTGCTTTTATTTTAAGAACACTGTTGAAATCACTAAAGCATTGACGAACGGACCCGCGTCATGGTTCTACAGTGGATTTGTTTGGTTTTGACAACTGTGCGAGCCGTTCAGGTGCATATGACCACGGAAGAAAAAAAAATGGACCAGAACCGCTCTATCGCCAAAACGTACTCAAACAAATGATAAACACAGTTGATTGGTTGTACAGTCAACTACCTAGCTGTAGCTAGCTAGCTATACATGAGTGAGCAGGGAAAGCTGTACTATCACTAACAACCCTAGTAGCCTACCTAACAGCCTAGCCCTAACCATACGCTACGGAATATATACTTATATAAATAGTAGGGGAAGCCTGTCACCGTGCGACCTAAGGCAACAGATGGAAAGGGGGGAGGATAAGGGTGCTTTAGGAAATGGTTTTCTCACTGCCAGTCTCACAGACTCACAAGACTGATCAGATAAGCTAACGGCTAAAGGTGTCTTGGCCGCAGTGAGAGGATGCTGTAATCAGGAGTGCTCCGTTGTCAATAAGACAGCGTTGATGTCTGAATTCAAAGAGCGTTTTATTTACAAAACTTAAGCTATTTATACAAAACGGTATTTAAGTGTGTGTGACTATAAACAATATTATTTTTAAATGTATACATAAAGTTAACTACTCTACTCAGCAGCCTAGTTCTGAACGGTCATTGCACTGCTGAGTAGTCTATTGTCATCACTTAGCAAATGTCG